TGTTGGCAGGACTTAATTTTAAGGACATGTCGGCCAGGGGTGTAGAGCTATATTTGTTTAAGCACCGGATTGGCAAAACAGGAGACTCTGTGCACCAGTCTGCCTTGATCTATGAATTCATGTCCAACACTGAACACAGGAAGAGACGAGACTAAAACTAGGGCCACCAGGGTGGGTCGAGGGGGTCTGGAGGACGGGTTTTGGGCTGACAGCCCAGGAGCACAGCGGAGGACCCGGAAGGGATCTCGGGCGGACGGCCCTGGGGCATGGCAGAAGCCGTGAAGGGGACTCGGGCGGACGGCCCGGGGGCAAGGCAGAGTCCATGGTGGGGCGAAGTCCACAGCGCCTAACTCAGGGGGCCGAGCATGAGGGCGAAGGCAGCGGCAGGAAGAGTCAGGGGGCCGGGCCCGAGGGCGAGGACCGCGGCAGGAAGAGTCAGGGGGCCGGGCCCGAGGGCGAAGACCGCGGCACTCAGGGGGCCGGGCTCGAGGGCGAAGACCGCGGCACTCAGGGGGCCGGGCTTGAAGGCGAAGACCGCGGCTCTCAGGGGGCCGGGCTCAAGGGCGAAGACCGCGGCTCTCAGGGGGCCGGGCTCAAGGGCAAAGACAGGAGCAGAGAAGCAGTCGGTGGGACCCCCAACGGGACAGGATATAGGGTTGGCAGGACCCCTGGCAGAAGAGTAGTCGGCAGGACCCCCAACGGGACAGGACATGGAGTTGGCAGGACCCCCAGCGGAACCTCCAACGGAACTTCAGTAGGGACTCGAGAGGGAACTCGAGAGGAGACTTGAGAAGGGACTTGAGAAGAAACTGGAGAGGTGACTTGAGAGGTGACTTGAGAGGGGACTAGAGTTGGGACTTGAGAAGGGACTAGAGAAGTGACTAAAGGAGGGACTGGAGAAGAGAGATGGGACTAGAGAAGGGACTAGGGAAGTGACTAGAGGAGGGACTTGAGAAAAGACTTGAGAAAGGAATTGAGTAGGGACAAGAGAAGGGACTTGAGATGGGACTAGAGTTGGTACTTGAGAAGTGACTAGAGAAGTGACTAGAGGTGGGACTGGAGAAGGGACTAGAGAAGGGACTAGGGAAGTGACCTGAGGAGGGACTAGGGAAGGGACTAGAGAAGGGGCTAGAGAATTGACCTGAGGAGGGACTAGGGAAGAGACTAGAGAAGGGGCTAAAGGAGGGACTTGAGAAGGGACTAGAGGAGGGACTAGAGAGGGGACTCGAGAAGAGACTAGAGAGGGGACCAGAGAAGGGACTAGAGAAGGGACTTGAGTTAGGACTCGAGAAGAGACTAGAGAAGGGACCAGAGATGGGACTAGAGATGGGACTATGGCAGCTGGGGCCAGAGCTGGTTCTGGAACCATGGCCGCTGGGGCCGGAACTGGGGCCGGGACCATGGCTGCCGAGGCCTGAACTGGGTCTGGAACCATGGCTGCTGGGGCCAGAACTGGGTCTGGAACCATGGCTGCTGGGGCCGGAACCATGGCTGCTCGGGCCGGAACCAGGGCCGGAACCATGGCCGCTGGGGCCAGAACTGGGTCTGGGACCATGGCTGCTGGGGCCGGAACTGATTCTGGAACCATGGCTGCTGGGGCCAGAACTGGGGCCGGAACCATGGCTTGGGAGGCAGAGAGCTAGCATGCCTGAGGCTAGCAGGCGGGGGATAACACACCGAGAGGAACTCCAAAATCCAGTCAGGTAAGAATCTCACCAAGCCTTGTTTCTCCATAGTTATCTGGCGCGCCTCTGCCAGAGCAGCCTCTCGCTGCTGAACCCCGGACACTCCCATCCATCGATCAGAGCAGGTAGCCAAAGAAAAGGTAAAATCCAACAATTCCTGCTCAAAAGGATCTGCTGGGCCCATATTTGGTTGGCTCGTACTGTTACGGTGGGTGAAGCAAGCAGGACCCAAATGCACTGATATTGCCTTTATTTCAAGGATAAAATAATAACTTGGACAAAACAGAACACTCACCGGTGAACTCAGTCACAAACAAAAGACGAACCAACACTGAACACAGGAAGAGACAAGACTAAATACAGGGAGGGGTAATCACAAGACGAGAAACAGCTGGGCAGGGGAGGAGAAACACAAGGGCCACAGGTGAACACAATCAGACAACTAGACACACCAGGGAAACTAACGACAGGAGGAAAAACACAGGGAAAATGACCAGACAATATACCAAGAGGAAAACATGACAGGGAGAACAGCAAAACACCCAAAACAAGACATACAAAACGTGACATAAAACAATAATCGTAACAGTTATGTTCCCTTAGTTCCTTTTCTGTCACACAGTGAAATGGCTGACCAAAATAACACATACTTTTTTTTATGCAGAGTAGCCCACTAAAGAATAATATATAGTATTACATATTTGGATTATAATTTGATTGATTAATGCAATGTCAATGTTGGTCGCTAACAGTCGTGAAAACTGTAATTGCCTATATATATCAGCTGTTAACCTTAATATGTAATAATATAATAGCATAATTATTGCTTGCTCCTGTGGGGATTGCCCACAGTATTGAGGAGAATTATTAATTTCATAATTTTATAATACAGTAATTGGTAACGCAACACCTGAAATAAATGTGGTGGTGTGAAAGTTACAATATTTGCCTCTTAAATGGAGTAATGGTTTACCGTAACATACATTTGACCTACTTAGGTAATGTACACAAGGCTTGAAAGTGTGCTTATGTAAGCAAACAGGTACAGTGAGACTGAGTCACTGCATAAGCTTCAGTCAGAATTATGTGAGTGGAGAGTTTCATAATGATATAAGGTACGTTCATATCCACTAATGTGTCGGGAGGGTTATGGGGCAGGATCTCACCACAGTAGGCAGATAGGCCTGCGTCACGTAAGGCATCATTATAGAAATAGAGCAGAGCGGTGTCATTACTTAATGTCCGTTTGATTGTCCTTACTGAATGGTAAATACAGGATCATGCACTTACAATATACAACCTTTATTTGATTTCTATATGTTCTTATCTAGCTATGTAATACTATATCTGCCAATGCCAGGAAAAGTGAATCATCTCTTAAACCACTTATAGCTTGACAGTATCTCCACTTTAGCCAGCACTGAGGCACAGAGGAAACTCAAACATGCCATGCTAACATGGTTTTATAAAGACTTTTTCAGCATTAAAGTATATCAGTAGAGCCTTTATATTTTGTACAAAAAAACAGCTTTGAGAGTGGTGAACAGCAGAAACACGTGCGGGTCTCATTTTCATATCCTGAGCTGACCTTCATGTGATGTTCCCCCTCTGCTGAGCCTGCAGGGTTCAGAGAGACACCTGTGATCCGTCTCAGACTTTATCTCAGTTTGTGATAGCGTGTGACGGCGTGTTGCCTCATCACACCAGATTCACTGAAACATGAAAGGTGTTTGCCAAGAAATGCCAGTGCAGAACATTTATTTTCATAGTCTGTGGCCACACTTTAATGTAAGTAGTATTGCTAAATAAATCCATTAATTGGTATTTGTTAGTGTGGTTTTATACACATGTTGTTGCATGTAAGGAGAAGAACCTCCTGGGACCCGAGGAAAAAAATTGTCTTCCAATTTCCTTTTTTTTTTGTGATTTCCTACCTATAGCCTATAGGGTTAAAAAAACATCTTGCAATTTAGACTTTTTTTATTTTTATTTTTTATAAATGTTACAGTATGTCCACTGTAGAGGACGTCGGGACCATATTAGTTTGAAAAGACAGCCAAAATTAACAGATAGACTATGTAACGTATTATGGTTATAGAGTGATATTAATACAATAATACATTCACCTTTATTTAAAACATGAATAAGTAATTGATCTGAACATTGCTGTTTATTTGGTCACTAAAAAACTAGTTTGGTTTTTGGTGAATCTTTCCAGATCTTCAAAGACTTTGTAGTCAATGTAGTGGGAAAAGTACCTCATTGACTCCAGTCGGCACGGGCTGTAGGGTCATCTTGACTAGTTTTATGGATGTGGTCTCCATTTGACCATGCTCATAGAAACAAAGCTTGCATTCCTGAGGCAATTCTCATTTTTCATGGCTCCACTTCAAATAAAAACAACAATAAGACATACTGGCTACTCTTGGCCCACAGAGGGACATGTCTTTCCAGCTCATCCCTATCTGTCTGTATCTGTGCGCTCATGGAGCCTCCTGCATCTTTCCCCCCCTTCTTCTTGACCCTCTTCTATCCCAGGTGTGAAATCCTCATCTCTCTCATCATCTGAGAGCTCAACATCTGAATCTCCCTGAACTATCTGGTACAGAAAATGTCTGCTTCAGTTCTGTCTCCTGCAACAATATTGAGTCATTAAGTCCATGAAGATGGTCCTGACGTCCACTAGAATGGACATTTCTAAAAGAGCTGTTATTTGAAAACTTCAATTATTTAATTGCTTTCAGAACTAATTATATAGTTCCTCACATGTTAATAAACAAGAACATATATGATTTTCATGGTAAAGATTACAATTATTCAACAATATTTGACTTCTCCTCCTGCTTCTATAAAATGTTGTTTTTGGTATACCAGCCATTTTGGATGAAAAGAAAGAGGAACTTCCCAGCATGCCATTTTAACCAATGACATATCACTGGAAAGACCAGGATGTCCTCTGTACAGTACATCAGGGATTGATAGAGTAGCTCAAAAGAGTAAAAGGAGATGCGTGTTAACAACATGTCCACTACAGTGGACATTTTCAATGGGCTGGGTCCCAGGAGGTTAAGCCTTAAGATAAGTAAATGTTACCTTTTACAAAGATTCACAGCTGTTTGCAAACACTTTCTGATGAGAAATGAGTCATCACTCAAAGTTTAATGAAGTTTATTTTTTGTAGAATAAGATCAGACAAAAGAGGAAGCACAGTCGATGAAAACATGGCCAAATGCACGCTCTGGCTTTGTGTGCTGCAACACAGATGACTCGTCCGTTTAGTTCATGATCTGGAAAAGATGACTGCAAATTATAGTTGATCTGAAGCAGCAAATTTATTCACAAAACGATAAATGTATTTGATTATCCATAGTTATTTCTATATTCAGAATCTAGTAAATAACAATCGGACATATTTAAATGAATACTCTTACATCATTTCACAGTGCTGTTGTTATTTAAAAAATGATATACAAACATATCCCTAATACTGACCATGTTCATCCAGTCGATGTAGGCGGAGACACGGGTGAAGACGGTGGGCTTCCTGGGCGTGTTGCATCCATAACCAGACACAAAGCTGGCAATACCATGGACAGAGTATTTTCCATCAACAAGGCAGTTCAGAGGGCCGCCAGAGTCACCCTGAGGGGAAGCATATTAATTAGAGCATCTTAATATCTGTTGCATAGCGGTTAATGGTGGATATAACATAGAAAAACATATAAGAACATTGAAGATTTTTTCTGTTAAGTTCTAAAATATTCAGGAAATCTTTATTTTCTTGTTGTTGTGTTTGATACAATGGGATTACGTTGGTACATCCAATTGTATATCTTCACAAATCTAAATAGTCCTCCTATAAAATGACTGAAAAGTAAAATGTTAACCATGAAACGTTTTCAAATTTATTTTTCATATAGGAGGTGACTTACGTTGCATCCGCTCTCGGCTCCACCACCACCACACACCATGGTGTCGGAAACGGTGCTGCCCCACCAGCTAGAGCTGGCGCAGGTCTTGTGGCCGACCATCGGAAGGTAGGCCTGCTTCAGCTGAGAGGAAATGCTGCCACCAGCTGGAATAGGCAGGATTGGAAAGGTAAGACGAATAGAGCTTACGGAAAAAACTTCCAAACTGACAGGACCATGCATTGAACTCACTGGAAGTCCGTCCCCATCCGGTGATGTAGCAGAGGTTGTTGTGGGGCAGAATCTGGCCCTTGGGAGGCAGAGAGCCCAGCTGGGCGTAGGCGTTAAGGGTTGCCTCAGAGGTCAGATGCATCAGGGCAATGTCGAACCTGAGGTGGAGATATGAAACTGATTAAACCCAAAAATAACTTTGTGAAAATACTGCACTCCTGTGGAGGACATTTTGTCCGTTGGTAAGAGGACCATCTTTCTGACGCCATGTCCAGACATCATGTAAGATGTTTAGGTAATAAGACAAATTGAATAACCTTAACTTTTTGAAACGTTAAGGTTAAAGATCTTTTAAAATGTGGCATTGTAAGAAAGAATCCTCACCCATTAGCCACGTTGGAGGAGTCCCACAGCTTATGGATGTGAACAGTCTTGACAGTCATGACCTGCTCCCTTCCACTGTTGCTGTAGAGGTCATGTTCCCCGATGACCACGCGCCACATCCTATTGCTGCAATATTTCAAAAAACGGAACTCAGTATTTTTATCAATCAATTATTAATTGTGTTTTAAATGACTTGATTGCAAGTCCGCATAGCCTGAATATGTTCTGTTACATCAAACTGAAGGGAAAAAAAGTCATAAAAAGTGAAGGTCACAATGTGCCATTTAGTAACTCCTGGTTTTTATTATGTTTTTATCCCTTTGTTTGGAGCCTTTATTTTCTTTCTAATAAAACAAATGAATGCGGTCTGAATATGACAATTATAAATGACGCTTTCAGAAGTTCTCTCATGCGGGTGACATTTGGAAACAATGAAATAAATCATTCCTCGGTATGTGATAAGAGTAGCTATGGATATTTAAGTCAAAATAATCACAGAATGTGTAGTAATGAATATAATCTAATACAGCCGAAGGATATCGAGTGAATGCAGCAGTTAGTCATTATGTTACCTGTCCACACAGTGAGCAGCAATCATAACCCAGTCTTTGGCAATAAGGGTTCCTCCACATGTGTGGTGGTAGCTGCTGCCAGATCTGTACTGAAGGGAGATCTAAGGGCGAGAAAACAGACCAGAGTTATATCCCTGCAAAAACCTCATCATTGTAATTTGTAAATGTGAAATTGTGGCACTGTATTGGTAAGTCCCCAAACATAATTTTCAGCTGAAACAGCTCATTTAGTTTGGTTTGGTGTGACAGTGATTACCTGCCAGGGCCAGGAGTTGGGTTTGGCCACATCGCCTCCAACAACTCTTTCCAAGCTGTCCTCGATGTACCTGGGCTCGGGCATCCGGTCAGCCAGCGCTGGTTGAAAAAAACATGAAAACAGAGGGTATGATCTATACATGTTTTCCCAGAAACATCATAATATTGTTTGCTTTCCACCTTCAAAAAGAGGAAAGGAGAAATGAGCGCAGTGAGCGTGTGCTGGGAGAGCAGATTATGTGGAGTAAACGAAAGATGAGTGAGTGACTGGATGACAGAGAGAGTGACTGACTGATAGAGTGAAAGAGACTAAAAGATATGAATAATAAATGGTGAGACAGTGCAGTATGTGCTGTCATTTTCTTACCCAGGGCTGCAAGACTTGTCAACACTAGAAACCAAAGCATGTTTGCAGTGCGTCACAACTTTTCTACTCCGGAGCGAATGCTTCTCGACGTCTTTTATACCTCCATTCGACCTTCAGTTGGACTAAAGATAATTGTGCAGTTCCTAACCCTTTGAACAAAATCTGCTGTACAGCTGTGGTCTGTCTCACACAGTGTTATCACAGACCACACACCTCCGGCTTGGACCAGTAAAAGAATGACACACATACTGAACAAATATATCACTGGACGACAAGAGTCAGAGAGATTGGAAGTAGATAGAACGGTATCTAAACATTTATTGTGTTGGATCAATTCTACCACTTCTGTTTCAAAAAACATATTTTTGTCAGGAATTTGGCCTGAAGGGTCTAATGATGACTGGCTGCATAAGATTTTTGATATGAAGGCACACATCACAATTTCTGCTTAACCTTAAAATGAATTGTCTGATGTAATAGAGTGCAAGTTATTGAGAAAATTTACATCACGCAATATATGTTTCCATTTTGAACGGGCATGAATTATAAAGTAAGCATAGGGAAAATATTTCTGGACCATCTCTATTCCCAAGTGGTTCTCTGAGAGGAAGTAAAACGAAGGAGAAAAGGGCATATGCTTATTTACAGAATAAGCTATGTGTAACGGCATACACCAAAGGCACTATAGCCTACTTTTTAAAGTGGAAAAAATTACCTTTTTTGCTTAAATTATACATTTTTTGAAAGTTATTCAGTGACTGCAGTTGAGGAACTGTAAATGCGTCTGCTTGTGATTTTTCTTTAGGAGTCCGAAGCGGTATTGTATCATTTCAGAGAAGTTGAAATTCCAATTTAATTTGCTACCTAAAAAAGAAAAGAAAGTTCAAAATAGTATCTATCCATTAATTTGTCAAGCAAACAAAATATACATTTATTCTACAATTATTCTGAAACTAAATATTTTTTATTTGTTTTAGCTAGTTTAAAAAAAAATTGAAATGCAAAAAGACTTCTTTTTTTATGTATAATGGATTCAAGTTTTGAATAAATACACTATGGTCATTTGCTTAATCTTTAATGTATTATTATGTACTGTAAAGATACAAAATAAGCAAAATCAGCACAACTTTTGATGCTTCTTATTAACAAACTTTAAGTTTAATAAAAAAATGTATAGCTGATATTTTGAGTTATGAACAGAGCAGTTTTTTGATTCAAGACAAAAGTCAAATTATAACTAGACTGCACATGCCAAGATACGTCAAACAGGACAGTGTCACAGTCCAACACTAGATGGGGCTGAAGACTAACGAAAACAGAATCTCAATCGTATGAAGGCATTCACATTTCACAGGAGACAGAGAGATGACATGTAGCCCTGGGATTTCCGTTTCAACCCCCAAATCTTCATAAGTCTATTGTAAATACAGAACTTGTGTAGTACTAAACTGAAATGAAAACCTTTGAACACAATGTCAAAATCTCATCCCAACTGCAAAGATCTTAATCCAGTGTGAGAACTGAGCTGAAGAAGATTCCTCCCCTCTGCTTCACTCTGACCTGCTTGATATTGAACAGTTTTATCGTGGTTGGATTCTGTAATATTTTTTGCATAATAAGAGGCTGAGTAAAATATATATAATAATACTTTTTAAAAGCCATTAACTAGTTCAATGTGTCCATCTTTAATAAAACGGCGCTTAATGAGACAGAAAGTCATTAAAACTGTATGGATTTCGGATTATTGCCTTATCGAGCTATTATAGAGATAACCGCACTGACTGGTAATTGAGCTGCTCCCATGACACGCAGTGAAAAGGTCCTAATGCCGCAACACTTCCTCGTCAACAGGGGCTCCACAATTTAGCTATTTTCTCATGAAGCGTCCCCTCCGAACTCCTCGTGTGTCCCTCAACCACCCCAATCTCTTCTTGTAGAGGAATAAATCAAATGGGGAGATCAAAGACAGGAAGTGCTGGGGATGTGTTAATTAAAGATGTTTGCTCTTGATACAGCTTCCCCTCGTTAATGAATAGTCCATTTGGTTCCCATAAAGATGTCGCATACACACACAGGCAGGAAATTGAGGATCCAAAAAATAAATTAATGGGATGCACTGATTGGGTCTATGATAGAAAGTCCATCAGGGTGAGCGGAGAGTATCTGTTGATTATGCCACTGACATATTCGAAACGCTCAAACTGTTGCCAGAGTGAAGCTAAAAGATTTGAACTCCATTAAGATAAGAAACTACCATAGCTGTTAGTATACATTCATTCTGAGGCAAGTGAGTGCGCTTTTTAAAACCTTTAAATTGATTTTCTAATTGGGGACATTCAGTCATTTACAAATATTTTAGTTCATTTTAGTTTTCTTTCTAAAGAGTGCTATTTTGTTTGACTTCTAAGAATGGCCTTGGTTCAAGGAGCCTTAGTGTGCGCTTTACCTCTCCTGTAGTGTTATATGTGTCAATTATAGTCCTTTGTCTACTTCCGTAACATAGTTACATCACTATGTCAAACTTGTGCATTTATTGGCTTTCGCGCAAGACATTGTCCATTAAAGACTAGGGGGAGGGACATCTGTTTGTGGCTGACCAATCAGAGCAGACTGGGCTCTGGATTTAGACAGAGAGTGAAAAGAGGTGCTGCAGCACAGGCAGAGAACATTTAAGCACTTTTTAAACATTAAAGCATGTAAACATTTCACCGAAAAGGCACAAACTGAACCTGAAAATTTGCAGAATGGGGCCCATTTAAACATATGTCTCTCATAAAGCCTGAACCTTGTTAATTTTGGTCACTCAGACAGCAATCTGTTTTTCTTTCTTCATGGTTCTGTTGCGCAAGAGTCCTCGACTTTCTCAGAAAACGACCCACATCCTGAAACAGGAGCTCTTCACCAGAGCAAACCACACAAACAAACTATCTGCACACTATGATAATAATCTGAGGTTGAGTTATACAGCATTCACATTTTTTAACATCGAAAGATGGCAAGAAACTAAATGGTAACGTGTGGATGTTAACAAGAGGGCAAACATCTAATTTATATGCGCTATTCTCCTTCCTCATGATCCAGAAATGAGTCTTTCTTACCCAAAAGTGTAACAACTATGTTACTTTCATCTGTTTGTTGCTGCGGTGGTTAAAATATTGTGTTAATATGTAGTTAGTGCACTAATATACTGCACAACATGGCACTAATCCACACAGTCTAAAGAGACACACAGTGTATTAGCACTTTTCCATGCTGGCCGAGGAGATGAGTAAGGATTCATCAGGGTTGTGTCCTGCTGGGTGACAGCATTGAAACTGATCCACTGGGCTGTTTGCAGCCTTTAATTGCAATTATACTCCAGTGAAAATAATCAATACAACCTCCCACTACTCCTAAACCTCTCTCCTTGTCTCTCTCTCTTTCTCCCTCCTCATGTGTCCTTCCTCGCTCCTCTCTCAGTCTGCCTCTCTCTATATATCTGGCAAAAATGGAGCCGTATAGACTGTGGGCTGATGTGTTTTATGGGGGAAGGGTGTGTTGTTGCAGCAGCTGCGCGTTAGATGATGGCTGGGAGTGCCTGATTGATCCTGTGGAGTACTGTTCATACATCTCAGTTTTCCTGCGGCTGCTGCTGCTGCCTTCACCTCTAGCTGCTCGCCGGCCTCCTCTTCCCTGTTCCCCCTCCGGCCTGGTCTCAGCTGCCGCCGCGCCGCCGGCTCCTGGCTCCTCGGTTGAGGCAGAGATAGGGTCTACTGGAGTGGAAAAGGAGGCTGCTGCTCCAAGCTTCCCCTCACTGAGTGATGGAGGGAAGAGGAAGGTGATTAAAAACTGACACACCACGTTGCTCCATCCTTGCCACTGTGTGTGTGTTGGGTCATTAAAGCGCCTTCAGGATCAGATACTCCACACTAAACTCAAAATGCTCATTAAAAATCCCCAATTGCTAAAACAGGAATTAATCACCCGAACCAACAAGACACAAACCGGTGAAATTAGCTTTAGTATTAACTGTGTATGAAATATTTAGAAAGTGATACAAAAAAAGCAACTTGTTTCAGTGTTAAACAGACTTCTAATTACAACAACCACAATCAGCAGTGAGGGGAGCCTTTGCAGCCTTTTTGTAAAGCATGTTTTATTTTGCACAGCACATTCATACCTGTCAGTGGCTGTCAACTTAATTATCCCCCTGAGGAAAATGAAATATACTATGTGTCAATTAGCACAGTTTAACAGAGAGCGTTAGTCAGTTTGAATAAGTAGGCTGTGATAATAGTCACTTGTTAATTTGAAGCATAATGTGTCGACGCACAAATTGATTAATTATTCATCTAACAAGTTTTAATTCACAATATAGTGAACCATCAAAGGTAACATGAGTAAGACATGTCACTGGGACGATTTCATTTTTTTGAAATTGGGTTGTTTAACGACACAGTTCTGAAATAAAAACACTCTTATTTTTAAATATATTGTGCACTCTGTCAAATACTTTTTTTACCAATGACAATTGGAAGTGCAGAGAGAGCAATCTCAGAGCTTCACTCATCTGTGCAATATTAGTTTCATGCATGACTACTGTCTACTCTATGAGCAGAAGCTAGAAAGCAGACAATTCATTTGGACTTTTTGGAATTTTGTATCATCGTTAGAAAAATATCACTCTTCACCGGCTTGATCTCCAATATCAGGATACATGTATTTATTATCCTTGCAAGAATGGAAGTAGTCATCACATACAGAGCGTTTGGTACAACTAGTTCCCCGAACAGTGTCCCTCACATGCTTATATACAAGAGAGAGTGTTACACAGTCACAAGATGCAGGAATACCGGTTCAAAGCATTATACAATGTTTTGTTTAGGTTAGCTAAGAGCCACGTCTATCTCCAAAGAGGCTGAATCATCATGTTAATCGTTGTCACATAGCGAGCATAAACCTAAACAGTGTGTCCTGACACTCTTCTAGGTAATCAAACATCCTGTCACGTACACAGCTACGTAGGGCCTTTGTTATCATGTGCTACTCTGATATTGGAAGAGTACATTCAGTATTTTCCCAACATCATCTAAGCCAGCAAATTAAGTGTCC